TAAACCAATTGTAAAATCAATATTAATTGGTACCAAAATATCACAAGTAGTTGAATTACAATTAAGGGTGGTGGTGAGTCTTGCCTCGGGCCACAGGGTCTGGAGGTCCAGAAGGGAAAGGGACTTGGGGAGGAATCGGATTTCAGAGCCAGGCAAACCTGGGCTTCCTCTCTGAGCCTCAGTTTCCTAATCTGCAAAATGGGGTTAATTGTTCTTGCAGAGGAAGTTTGGTGAGGATTAAATGAGCCATGTGTTCTTGGTACCTGGTAGCCACAGAGCCCAGGGAATGTTTCCTTCCTCTCTTTGTCTTCATCCCGTCTACAAAGCATAAGTCACTCTCACTGTGGTTAAGAATGACATGTATGGAGGGAATAGCCAGAAAGAGGGTATTGAATAAAGGCTCACCTCGTGTTACAGTAGAGCTGGTCCGCTTGACCACACAATGAACCCCTCCAGGCTCCTGTCCTCCCAAAGTTCTCAAGAGGACATTTGGCTTGGCCTCTGAGAACCTGTGTCCTGGAGATGCACATAGCTGTGCTTGTACTTGAGGGCTGGTAGTTACCTGCCCCCCCACCCCAGGATCAGCATCTACAACAGTTTCCTTCAGCTTCCTTTCCCCTCTTAAAGATGAGAATCTGAGGCAGCCTGTGGAGGGCTGGGGCTTGGCCATGAGCCAAGAGCCTCTTGATTTCAGCTGCAGTAAGGATGTCTAAGGGAGTGGCAGCAGCTCACAGCAGCTCTGTGGCCGTGGAGAGGTACCTGGGACCTTCCTGTCACATCTTGGGGCTGTATTGGGCTTTCCTTTGCCCTTTAGAGGTGACTACAGAGGTGACAGCAATGGTTGTATATGTTGGTAAAGGACCTGGTTCTGTGCCAGACACTTCCCCCATGCTTTCTAACTTGCTACACTTATACCACACGCACACAGTTCTGTTCACAGGCTCTGGATAGAACCACATCATTTTTAAATCTCAACTTGGCCACTCTTAGCAATAAATTGTATTTGTCAGCTACAGCCTACAATGCTGTGTAACAAACCAACCTGAAATTACTTGGTGACTGATAGTAAATAAGTTGTCATGCACATAGGACTACAAGTTAACTGTATTTTGTTAGTCTAGGCAAAGTTTTGCTTCAGGCTGAGGGTCAGGGTCAAGGCAGCTTCGTGGTCTTTTATCATTTTTCAATAAATGGCTGCCCAAGGCAGCTTCCCACCAAGCCTAAGAGAACCATATAGCATAGTGAGCATCACCCCTCAGGTCAGTTCCACTAACTGGCCATGGTCAGCATCACAGACTGGGGAAAATACCTTCTATCTGTGATGTGAGTGGAAACAAAGATCGGCTGTCCATACATATCCAAATGGTCACAGTAACCCAGGCCTCTGTCAGCTCATCTATAACATGGGGGCCAAGTGCAGGGGTTGGTCTGAGTGCAGGACCACCCCCATCTAACCTCTCCTCCCAGAGCTCTGATTCCATGATGTTCTCTTCTCTTGGTTCATAACATGTCAGCCTCCTGGGATGGAGGAGACCTAAGTTCCTGTGACATGCTGTGAACCTCTCGGTCCCCAGGTCAGTCAACCATGTCTCTTTTTATGATAGCAGCTCTCCCTGAGGTTCTCAGTACAGCTGTGACCCCAGAGTCCCACATGGTGTCTGGTGCAGCCGACTGCAAGACCCTACCTGGCTTTCCCCAGACAGCCATCACTACTCCTGGTATACTGAAAGTAGATGAGGTAGGGGAGGTTTTGTATGGGCTGGCACAAAAAATGGTGACCATGCTATGGTTTGACTAAGTGTCTTGAAAGGCATACATAGCAGGTCTACTGTCCCCAATAATTGCCCCCAGAGAGCCAGGATATGACCCCCATTGCTTCACCAGGCAGTAGTGTCTGCAATACCCATCTTGCACCTGTATGTGCATACACAATCTCATACTTGGATGTGTGACTTGCTCACTCATGTATGTGTTCAAACATAGTTCAAGCACATGTGTGTCTGTGTCCATACCCAGATAACCTTCATGTGTGTGTTCTTGTGGGCTTCCAACATACACAGCTGACAAAGAATACACCTCCTTGCTGCAGTTGCATGAGTACATGAGTTAGGGTGACACAGGGCAGACTAGATGTCAACACCCACCTGCCTTGCCCACTCCCCATTTCCACAGCTGAAGATTAATGCCATGACTCCCTCAGAATTATTATTTCCAATACATTGTTTTCTTCGAGAACTGCTGTCACCTTTTCTCTGATTATTACCTAGGCTTTATTTAAAAGTGCCAGGGCTGGCAAGATGGCTAACCATTTAGGTAAAAGCACCTTGCCATCAGGTCTCATGACCAAATTCAATCGACAGAACCCATATACTTAAATGAACAAAACATTTTTTAAAAATAATAATTTCACTCTCCCTTGAAATGGTTCAGTGGTTAATAGCACTTACTACTCTAGCAGAGGACTTGGGTTCAGTTCCCAGAACCAGCATGGTGGATCACCCCATCCAGTTCCAAGGGATCCAATGTCCTTTTCTGATCTCTGAAGGTACCACACACACACATGGTGCACTGATATACATACAGGCAAAACTCCCATACATATAAAATAAAATACATCTTTACAGTTTTAATTTTAGCTCCGAGAATTCAAGGGGACCCATGATCTCTCACCCCTGTTCCCACCTCCACCCAAGTCCACCTCTATAACTCTCTGGGTTGAGCCAGTAAGAGCCAGTAAGAAAGGACCACAGTGAGCTGAGACCCTGCACAAGTGCCCTCAGGCCCACCCTGGGCTTTGGGTCCACTACTAGGAAGATAGCAAAGGCCAAAGGCAGCAATGGCGGCTCGAGGCCTCTCCTGGGGGTAGCTGAAGGGGTCCAGGAGCCTCCCTTGCTCCATCCCATTGTTGTAAATAATGCTGAAAATGAGTCGTTTTTAAAGAGTGTCCAGTGGGATTCTGGAGCCTTGCTTTAATTATACAAAACCAGCATGGGTGCTCAGGCAGACGCTAGTGCTAATTGTTTTGAAAGCCAGCCCTCTTGGCTCTGCAGAAGGGCACATTTTGAGCATTTCCCCCAGCCATGAAAGTGAGGTCACTCCCAGACTGGGCAGGTAGGTGTGAGACACACCAGAGACCTGCCATGGAGACCTCCTCCTCCCTGACCTCACCACAACTCACTTCAGGCTCTAGCTGATCCCCCCCCCCCAGTCTCCTCCTCACAACACAACCAGCTGACAAGATGCTCTGAGGTTGGGACCAATGATGGGAGGGAGGGAGCACTCTGAGCAAGCACTGTGGGAGAGGTGAGGGAGGATGGGTACACGTTTTCATCAGTATGCTCCTCCGAGAACCTAGCCCTCCATAGAGTTTGTAATCTCTGATTTATTACCTCTCCTTAGTGGATGAGGGTCAGAAGGCTCCAAGCCAAGGTCACACCACTAGGAAACCACAGACAGCACCCCAGCTTCAGCTCCTCCCTCCCTCCTGTGGCTGGAAAGGCAATGGGAAACAGAGGTGCACCAAGAGAAATGGAGAGGATGGATGCATGGATGGCCAGCCAGCCAGATGCACAGAAAGTGGCCCCAGAGGGAGAATCGGGGGAGAAGAGACAGTGGGCAAATTGTGCCTTTAATCCACCCACTGTCTGATGGGTTTGTAAGAGGCAAATCGACCCCTTCTCAGACTACCGGAGGGTCATAGTGTTGTGACTCTAAAAAATCAGCCAGAAATTAAACAGGGTTAGTGCTCAAGGAAATAAACAGAAGGAAAAACCTACAAAGAAATAGAAACCAAAACCAAAACAAAATAAAACAAAAAAACAGGGTGGGGGCTAGGGATCAAAGCCATAACAGGACACTGAGCAGGTGAGCTTCAAGGTGGGGTGCAGGGGCTAGTGAGCTCTGCAGAGGGACAGGCCTGGACCAGAGGAGGTGATGGATGACGTGCCCATCAATTTCTGAAGGCCAAGGCTCGGAGAGCAGCCGAGTCAGTGAAATTTACATTATTAATCTCTTGTAATAATCTATGACTCAAGCAGGCTGAGAAAATAGCCGTGGCTACGCAGTGGCCAGCCTATATAAATAACGGCTCCCTGCTCAATTTAATTGCACTCTGGTGAAAGCCCTCTTCTTGTATCTTTCTAATTACTTTAGTTTCATTAGGTCTAGCAGAGAAAGAGAGAGAGAAAGAGAGAGCCGAGAGAGAGGGAGGGAGGGGGAGAGAGAGAGAAAGGGAGGGAGCGTCTCCATTGAGCGTCGCAACAATGAAAAATTCATATTCTGATTTTTTTTTGTTCTGTGAAATATTTAAATGTTAATAGCCATTCCATCGCTGACATGCTATCTCACCAGTGTGGAGTTAAACAGAAAATCTATTTAATCTACGGGATCTCATTAAATGGTCGTGGCAAGGCAGTGGCTGGGAAGTAGTCAATAGCCAGGGAAAGAGGAGAGGGGGGAGGGGGCGGGGGAAGAAAGAGCTGCTAAGATTCTTTAATTTAATTTATTGTCGTGCATGAGACACCAGGAGAGGCGGGGAGACGCTGGCTCCTGTGCCTCCATTTGAGTGGCTAATGATTAAATGTTTTCCATTGTGCTACAGCTGGTATGTATTATCACAGAGTGAGTGAAAAACACAAACTCTCAGCAATTTTGACTGCTTTCCAAATATTAGCCCCTTTTAAAGCCATTAAAAGATTATCACTGATTTAACCAAATGTCTGTTTGGAGTATTAACCGCAGTCTGTTCTCCGAATCCCCAGAATGCCTCTCCTCTCCTCTCCTCCGATTATCTCATCCACCCAGCAGTATTTAATTTCATTCCCATGAATATGCAATGAATTTAATTTTGAACACTATTTTCATCTGCTCCTGTAATCACAAAAAATGCTGGTGTAATTAGTTTCTAATTACTTGCTTTAATTGTTGTAGTAATCATTTTAATTACCCAAATGCACAGACATCAAATGCTAAAAGGAAAATAATCTCCTTGTACCTCCTACCCTGTCTTTCGGCACTTGGTGTTTGATATCTCGATTTCGACACGGGCAACCTTCACTGAGCCGGGGGGTGCTCCGGGGGGCTTCTGGGGCTCAGGGAGGCCGCTCCAAGCCCAGGCCTCAACACAATCTGCTCACAGAAATTTGCATGCCCCCCAAAAAACCATTAAGTTAAAATATACAGTTATTGTACCTTTCTGGGCCGGGCGCCACGCACGAGCTTATTGCCGAAGCCCAAACCGGCACGAGCAGATGGTAAATCATGAAATTTTATGAAATTATTACGCCGGCGAGGTGTTTTGAATAGGAGCAGCTGTGAAGGAGATGGGACGTTATAAACACTCACAGGTGTTACCATCTCCTCCTCTGCCAGCCGCAACATAAAAAAAAAATTAAATTATAAACAAACCAGGCAAATGTTGTAATCTCCCTCCTCGACACACTCCTTACAGGGAAATTGCTTAAACTAAGCAAAGAATTCAATTTTAATTTGCATAAAATATTTATCAAGGCTTACGCAAATTTCTGCGCAGCTCCCTTCCTGCCAAGTTGAAAATTGCTCAGACATACAGAGGTGGAATGTCGGCATGCGAGGAGGCCATTAGGCCAGCCCTCCCGGCCACTCGAGCTGTGCCGACACCACATGCCCAGCAGCAGGCCAGGCTCTGCCAACTTGGCCTTTTCATATTTTTTTCTTTTTCTTTCGTTCCTTTTTTGCAAACAGATTGTTTTTCTCATTATGTTTTTATATGTACCTAAACTGTTAATTAGGCTCTTAGAAGCTTTTTTATTGGGGCCTAAGTGTAACAAGCTGCTTTGTTCGAAGACCCACACCTTTCCGCTGCTCCATAAATGGGGCTGTCCGTTATAGCTCAGGTTTATGAGCTGGGAGAAGGTGCCCTGACCAGAGCATGGCTCAGTTCTCCAGGCTGCTTGAGGATGCTGGTCCCAGGAGAGAGGAGGAAGAGGAGGCTGAGGGAGCAAAGGAAGTCCCTTGGGCCCAATTCCAGAGAGCAGCCAATATCCTCAATCACACGCTCACACCTGCCCAGGGTCCTCACACTTCCCCCTCCCTCCTCTCAGAATGCTCGGTTAGGACCATTGGCAGCTCAGCTCTGGCTTCCCAATCCAGAAGGGCTCCTCGAGAATCCACTCACTCACTTACTCACACACAAACTTTTCTTCACAGCTGTGGCCGCCACCAGAACCAGGTCCAGGCATTTCATTGTTCTCTTCTTTCTCTAGGATGAGACCCCCCCCCCATGAGCACAGGGATGTCAGTATGGCCCCATGTGTCCTCTGACACAGCCTCGAAGGCTCACATGAAGTCTGGGCACCACAAATGAGTATACAAGAGCCAACCATCACAGAGCCTCAAGTGCCTTTTGTTGGGGAAGTACACTGAGTCGGGACAGGGCTTGGTCAGTTACTTGAAAGGATGACAGTTGCTTTGCCTCTGGCAGATGGGCCAAGAATAAAGGAAACACTGATGTCCACAGAGCAGGCCCAGAGGTACCAGCCTTTGTACCACATGATGTCCTTATTTGCTTTCTGTTGCTGCGATTAACACCACGACCAAAAGCAACCTGGGAGAAAGGGTTTCTTTCATCTCACAGTTGACAGTCTACCATGAAAGGAAGTCTGAGCAGAAACTCAAGGCAGGAATCGCTGAAGCAGAAGCCACGGAGGGGTGCCGCTTACAGGCTTACTTTCTTGCAGAATTCAGGACCACCAACCCAGGGATGGCACCACTCACCGTGGGCTGGGCCCTCCCTCCCCCATCCATCACTAACTGAGAAGCTACTTCAGACTTGACCATAAGCCAGTGTGATGAAGGCTTTTTCTCAAAGGAAGTTCCTTCCTCACAGAAGACCCTAACTGAGACGAGGTGACAAACACCTAACCCTCACTCCTGACCCACTGCAATCAGATATCCAAATGAACTTTAAGCAAATCCAGCCAATCAGTGCTTGGCTACCCAGATCCCCCACAGGCCATGCCATTTTGATCTACTGGGTTCCCCACCATATCAAAGTGGCTGATGGAGTGGTAGGGGCAGGATTATCCCTCCGTGTGGAGCAGGATCAATGGGAAGAATGGATTAAGCATGGTGAGTAACTAATAAGGAAATAATCAGGTTTTACACTGCACAAATATGTCAGCACATCAGACAGAGCAATGCGATGGAGGGTACAGAGAGGATAACGTTGTAGCTCTGGAGAAACTGCGGAGAAGCTGCCCAAGGAAATGGACACCCAGTGTCAGAGCTCCTCACCATGCCAATCAGTCGAGTCAGAGGCTGCACTACTGATATATCTCTTGGGGGTGTGAAAAGATACAGAAGAGCTCTGGAGGGCGTCCTCAGTGCTCCCCAAGTGGGAGCTCTGAAGAAGGCATTAAGACATTTGGGGGGTAGAGGCAGGGGGATCAGGAATTCAAGATCATCATCTGCTAAATAGTAAGTTGAAGATCATCTTAAGCTATGTGAGAGTGTCAAGCCTGCCAGTGGTGGCTCATGCCTTCAATCCCAGCACTCAGGAGGCAGAGGTAGGTGGATCTCTGTGAGTTCGAGGCCAGCCTGGTCTACAGAGTGAATTCTGGGACAGCCAGGGCTACAAAGAGAGACCCAGTCTTGAAAAAACTAAACTGAAGCTGGGTAATGGGGGCACACGCCTTTAATCCCAGCACTGGGGAGGCAGAGGCAGATGGATCTCTGTTTAAAGCCAGCCTGGTCTACAAAGCTATATAGAGAAACCCTGTGTAGAAAAATTAATTTAAAAACAAAAAGAGGGTGTCAGTGGGCTAGGGAGATGGTTTGGGAAGTAAAACACTTGCTGGGCAAGCTTGAGGACCTGTCTTCACATCCCTTCCACCTGAGCCAAAGCTGAGTGTAACTGCATTGACTTGTAACCCCAGCATCTTGGGAGCAGGGAGATGGGATCTCTGGGGTTTTCTGGCCTCCAGCTCAATTCCAGGGTCAGTGAGAGACCCCAACTCAGGGAAACAAAGCTGACTATAGAGCATGGTGGCTTTGCCGCTGTCAACGGTCCCAGCAAACCTCAAAGGGACAGGGATAGCTTCATATCCTAGCCAAGACCTAGCAGCTGTGTGACCTTGGACATGGCCATTTATCTCTCTGTGTACCCCTCTCCATGTGGGGCAGCCTGAGTTTTCAGCTCACTGCTTGAAGGTGGGTTTTGACAGTTTGTTCAGATGCACTGTCCAGATAGGGGACTGAAGACCCCAGAAACAGTGACTTGTTGAGCTTACCTAGCCACTAAGTCAGCTGGCCAGGAATCTCCATGGGATGGGGACCTGATCTATTTTCCAGCCCAGGGGAGCAGAGAAGGGAAGAAAATGGACAGTGCCTATAAGAATTGCTACTGGGTGGGGCTGGGGCTAGGTGTTGAGTAGAACATGGGCAGAGGTGGAGGTGTGGGGAAGAGAGACTATATCTGATGACTGAGCCATTTGTTGCTTCTGGAAGGGCCAGAGCAGCGGCCACAGGACAAGAGGCAAGGCCCTTTGAACAACTTGGGCAGATGTGCAGCATTCACCAATTTACCTGGTATAAATCTTCCCCTCCCAGAGATCCTGGAGTGCTTTGGGGAACCAGCCCAGACTCAGTAGGCGTGGCCTCCTCCAGGATAACCCATCTAAACCCCACCCTTCCCGCACATGGGGGCCTGCTTCTAGTCAAGGATATCCCTGTGGTCCTCGACCTCTCCCCTGAGCAATGAGCTATGAAGTTTTAGGGAGAGTCAGGCCCCCCGCATCTGTCCCAAGCATTGTGACATCTTTATTTCCACCTGGGGCAAAAGAGGGCCCCTCTTCCCGGCCCAGCTGTGGAGGTACAGATGGTGGCAGGGTCACCTTGCAAAGAGTTATGGGACTTGAAAGAAGCGGGAAGACACGCAGTTCTGCAGGCAACAGCCGAGGATAGTAATCTGGACAGACAAGGAATCGATGGGGATTTCTATTTAGGGAAGAAATCGATAGGAATTTCAAGGTAGGAAAGGGGGAATTACCTTTAATTGGAGCATTCGTCCAGCTGGCCCTCGGGTAGGGCTGAGATTCACCAGGTCTTGGGGTACAGCCAGTGGCCCACCCTGCTGCACTTTACCTCAGAGGCCCTCCTCTCCAGGCTATGAGGGGTAGGTGTGCTGGGAGTCATACTTCCTTGGCCAGCAGGTGACTTCAGTAGAAACACCTGTCTCACCAGTGAGGGGCAAATTCTAGCATGTCAAATGAGGGGAGCTGAGAGGTGCCAAACCCTGCCCTGTCCCAAGAACTTTGTAAGTTTAATCTGTATTAAACCCCAGGGGCAGGCTCTGTTATCTCCATTTTAAGGCACAGAGAGGTTGAACTACTTGCCCTTGGTCACACAGCTAGGAAATGTTTGAACTGGATTTTGAAGACTTGCCCACCTAGTACCAAAATCTGGGCTCTTTGCCCATGAATGGTGTCAGGTGCCCCCAGCTGTCCATGTCCAGGAAACCCTTCCTGGGAAAAGGAAAGCCTGAAGCTGGCCCTGCCCACTACCTCCCACACACCCCTACAACCTCCCAGGAAAAGGCTGTTGGCTTCAGGAGGGGGCTCAGGGCTCCCAGGTTCCCATCAGACCCCCCGGAGGGAAGACCTGACTGCTCACAAGGCCTTTAAAGAGTTATGGAAGACACATCTCTAGAATAGAGTCAACAACAGTACACTCCCAGTTGCTACTCAGGGCCTTCTAGGAGCTTGAGCCTGGGCAAGCTCCTGGGAAAGAGCTCCTTGGGAGGAGCCCTGGCCCCTGCTGACTGCTGGGAGCTGTTCTGCAGAATGAAGTGATGTCATCCTGGAAGCAGACCTGGGAAGCAGAGGGTCAGCCCTCCACTTCTCAGAAGGGGTCATTGGTGTGACAAAACACTAAGGTACTAAGACACCTGTGGGAGCAGGGTGTCTGAGGGAGGGGTCCCCTGGGCCTTTCCATTAGCTTGACGTTACAGAGAGGAAAGTGGAACACAGGACCCCTGACCATCTGCCACCATGGGCATTAAGGCCAGAGCCCCCATCTCTCTAAGCTACATCCCATTTTGGGCCCAGGGAGGGAGAGGAGAGGCGCAAGAGCAGGTGAAACTCAGTCTTGGGGTCAGATGGGAAACATGGCTGATTACTGGTGCTTCTGGAGTCCTGGATGCTGAGCCAGAAAACTCAGGCAAGCTGTACTTGTGCGAATGATCAAGGCAGATCTCTGGGGATGCTGGAGCCAACCTCCCCACACCTTTAAGTACTTCTAGCTCAAACTTCAGGGTACCTGCAGCGGAGGGGTTGTGGCAGGGCTGCAGGGTTTCATGGGATTTAATCCTCTCCAGACTGGACTGGAAGTTAAGTGACACCCTGGGTGAGAGAGCTTGAACCCCCTGCCGCAGCCTCAGCTTCTCCATCGTCTGTGAGTTGAGAACCAGTCCTTCTACAAGCCATGCCTAAAGATGTCTGCTGAAGGAGTGCCTGGATTCCTGGATGGACAGATGGCTGGACAGATGGATGAATGGATAGACACATGGATGAGTATAATCGGTGGATGAAATAATGACTTCACCTCTCTCTGGCTAA